GCAGTGGCAGAGCAGCGTCAGCGAGCACGGCGCAAGCAGTGGCCAGAGCTGCATGGGCAGCTGCAAGCATGCCATCCAGGCATCACTTCAAGTATGACAATGTCCACTCTACACCAAGGTACGTGGGAACTTGTGCAAAAATCTAGCATCTTCATCGACTAGGACTAAGTTGTGTGTTTTCTTCTGCCTGTGTCATGTGGTGATAATTTGTTCTGCCTATTGTTTGCAGATATTAGTCAGTTGGGAGATGAGGTGGTTTGCCAGATAAGAAATAGAGTAAGGACAAGAAGGAGCTTTAATTGGGTCATGTCATGGTGAACCTGGAGCACAGATTTTACAGGAGATGGTCATGATAAAACAGGGTGCTTAAGATCTAGGGAAGTATAACATTTTTTTTTGAAAGCAAAGTAAAACAAATTTACTTTCTCGGTCTAATTTAATTTTTCTATGTTCATAATTTCTTGCGTGAATAGATAGACCAAGCCGAGCAGGGCATCAACTATCTACTCATGCTTTGGTTCATTTTCTTGGAGTATTTGTGTTCTTAAATTCTTAATCTTGGTTTTTACTCGTTTGTGCTCTATCCTCTCAATCCAGTTACGTATGCAATCCTCAATGAGGATAATTTTTTTCTGAATCACTTAGCAGCCTCTGCATCCTTCTGCCTTAGCCTGATCAATTTTTCCCACTATGCCGTTTTTTTGCCAACATATTGGAACGAAGGTGTCTCCATGTCAAACATGCATCCGTTGAAAATTTGGTGTCAACCAGTTTTTGGAGGATTGCATCAATGTTCCTCATATTTCTAATATTAGGATATTAGAAATCCCCTTTTCCCTACAATGTTTATCTTTTCGTTCTTTTAGATAATGATAATGTTTTTTGGTGTGCCAGTGCCCAGTTGTGTATATTCTTGGACCTTTTACATTCGATATTAACAATCCAAAACTTAACACGTTTCTAGCCTTCTAGAGGAACTTGCATTTAATGTTATCAATTTTCTTGCAGCAAACTTCAAAGTTCTTGATACTTTTGCTTGCACTTATTTTCCACAGGCTCACATATTTTAGTGTTGTGCAGTTTAGATGTCAATATGATGGCCATTTCTTTTACGGGTAAGGCAAGAGATCCGTCTGCTGCTACTACAATCGGCCGCTGCACTACGCTGGCTGAGGCCACACGTCATCACCTACCCCACCATGCTGCACCTTTGGATTGCTGGCTGCCGAGGCCGACACCATCTGTCGCCCCTGAACACTTTTTTAAAATCATGGAAAACCTCTTGGTTTCTTTACCATGTTGTAATTTGTTTCTATGCTTTACATTTTATTGCCTCATGCCTCCGGGACCCTGTTTTCTAAACTACAGTTGCATTAGCATGAGGCTCTTCTGTAATATGCAGGACTACTTCCAAACAACATACTCCCTCTGTCCGGAAATACTTGTCATCAAGATGAATAAAAGGGGATGTATCTAGACGTATTTTAGTTCTAGATACATCCCTTATCCATTTTGATGACAAGTATTTTTGGACGGAGGGAGTACAAATTCTTCTAGATGTCCTCAAACGTTCTATTTCCAATGCATAGAACCCAAACATATGCTTTTCGGATGTCTCATGTATGGAATTAATCACTACTACAAGCTTTGTCTACACTTCATAAGTTATATGGAGCAAGTTGATCTTTAGAAGAATAACATGTGAAATTCAACTTTTGGATTTGTTGAATTAATATGAATGTAGCATTCTTCCTTCTTGACCAATAGGTGCTCGAGTTCTTTGTCTAATGTGGGTACTGAATATAAGTGAGTCTAGAGATGGAACAACCAGTCCACCTACCCACAGTGTTGTTCGAAAGCACAAAGGAATATTTCCTTTTATAGGCTCCTCCTCGCGCGCCCTATTGGGCCGGCCCATTAGCGGGACGGGGCTTCCCTTTTTCTTATTTCTATTTTTCTATTTTTCCTTATTTAAAATAATTTGGGATTTCAAATAGTTTCAAATTTCAAGAGAAAGTGTGAATACTGAAAAATGTTTTAGAAACCGTGCGCCCTATTAGGCTGGCCCATGAGCCGGGAGGGACACCACTATTTTCTTATTTCGTTTTTTCTTTTCTTTTTCTTTAAATAATTTGGGATTTCAGAAAAGTTCCAAATTAAGAAAATGTGATTTCTGAAAAATATTCCAGAAGTAGTAAAATGTTTATGAATTTAACAAAATTCTGCAATTCAAAACATGTTCATGAATTTTTTAAACAATGTTCACAAAAATAAAAAATGATCATGAATATCAAAAGAGTTCATCGATTCAAAAAAAGTTCGCTGATTCAAAATCTTCATCCATGAAAAAATAATGTTCGTCAAACAAAAATTGTTCATTAGTTTCAAAAAATGTTCACCCATTCCAACAATGTGTGCCTATTAAAAAAATGTAAGTTATAAAAAATTTCATCCATTCAAAAAATAATCATCGTGCCCTGTAAGAAAATTTTCAATTACTTACAACAATATTCATCAAGATGTCGTCAACCTCCTAGATTTTGTTGATGGTTTGACTGTTGTTGTTGGCTGCACACAACATGATCCGTGCCATCCATGGTCATGAACGAGATGTTGCAAACTCCGTCATCGCCTTGATGAGGTCATTGAAATTTTGCCCTGATGTAAATTTCCTGTCACTTTGTTACGCTAATCCCTTTTATATATATACTAATATTAAAGGAAGGAAGAATTCTTCCGTCTAGTTATAGTTTCGGCCATCATCTATCTACCAATGTACCACACACCTTTTATGTTTCTCTCATGTGTGGGCCGAGCTAGGCTGCTCCACACTTTTTCTTTCTTCGATTCAATTGTGGAGCAGCGAAAAATAATACGTTTCTATTTTCCCCCTACGTCGGTCAAGATGGGCCTATTCCGAAACATTTTTTTCTTCTCATTTGATTGTGGCATGAGGTGAGAATGAAACTATGAAGCCGCAAACTGAACTGTGATCATTTTGCAAAGACAGTATGGTTGAAAGCATAATTCTTTTTCATCTTGGGAATAATTGTCGTGGATCATAAATTAAATAATGGTTTATATCTTAGTCTATGCTAGGGAAGTTAAATTTTCTCCCGTTGCAACGCACGGGCATTTTTGCTAGTAATATGTTAATGTTTTTACCTGATAAAATAGATAGTGATACAAATTTATTTGCCATGTGCAAATTATACCAGCGACTTGTATGAAAAAAAATGTTTCATTAAGATCACTATCAGACTATTTTTTACAAAAAAAAACAAAATTGGTTTCCCCTATAATACTTGAATGAGCTAGTCTATAGATTTAATCTGAATTCGACATCAGAAGGGCTTCTATTCAATTTTGTGAGCATTACAACACGCTATATTCTGACGGTCAATAAACCATCAAAGTAAACAATTCAAGATTTGCATGGGTACAAACATAGATAAAAATAAACCTCCACATTCGCTATGGTTTAGTTGAACTCTACATACTAAATAGAGACGACCATGGAGAGAAGCATGCTGAAATTAAAACGAGAGGAGGGAACGACACATATCATCTTTACAAAATCCACATGTTAGGAAAATAAAATGTGAGTGATAGAGAGGTAGAGAAGCACCTAATTTCGTTGGTCCTATCTCTTCTTTCTCGGTAATTATAAGGAATATCAGGAAATAATTTGCCGCCGTACTAATGAACACTACTTGGGCACTATGCAAAGAGACAAAACAAAAATCATTAATCAATTGCTAGGTGTGCCAACTTGTAGTGTTATCCTTCATATGCCAATCTCATGTACCAAAGCATTTTAGTTTGACTTGTTTTAGTTTTGCATAAAACAGGCAATTAACACAAGGTTGGCCGATGTATCTCGCTGCAGTAGTCTCATCCATCGTCTTTTTCTTTTTTCGGCAACTGTCCACAGCCACAACACTATGAAAAAAACTATCCTTGGGCTCATGAAAATATAGGCAAATACTGAATCTGTTCTACAGTATAAGAGGGTTCAGTTATCACCTCAGCTCACCTGGGAAGCAACACTCTGACAACATGTATGCCTTATTCTCCAAATGTACAGATAGGAAAAGGCAAAGTTCAACAAGGCCTTAATAGTATTCATGGACATCACAATTCACTGGTCAGTGCAAAAACTATACAGAAAACAAAAAGGAACAAAACAAAGCCAGGTTTTTACGCCTAAATGGAATTGTCAAATGCAGAAAGAACACGTGTGCATTTTTCTCCAAATGTACAGATAGGAAAAGGGCAGAAGGAATAGACATACACAATACAGTGACACGCTACCTAGCTCATGGCATGAGCTGAGACAGTCTAGAAATGGTCAAATATATATAGCATAGCTAACAGAGCTCATTCACAACTCTGTTGGTTTGGACACGTCCAAGTTCAAGCATACTGCAAATCCATCAGTGAGAGCTTGAAGCAGAGCGATGAGCCAAACAACACTGTAAGTTTTTTCTCTAAAAAAAACAACACTGCAAGTCAAAAACAGTTCAGAGAGACAAATGCTAGCAAGGGATTGCAGAGAATTTTGCCATATGCTCTTTTGTTCATATGATCAATCAACAGAAAGAGAAGGAGCAATCTAACAACCCAACTGACTGAAGAACAAGTGCAAATGTTTATTTTTCATAAAAACAAACATTAATTAGTTCTGATGAACCCAATTATATTGTTACATATATGCATCAATTTTGTTCATACATAGCTTCTGGTCGGCATGTATATTTCATTAGAACTCATTAGGCTGTTGATCGTTTGAGAAATGTATCAACTTTGCATGAAGCATGGAAATTGATCTGATGGAAGTCGAGTATGTACTGTGTACACTTTTCATGCATAAAAGGACGCCTTGTCGCCTCTCACAAATAAATAAATAAATGGTGTTATAGAAATTATTAAACCACTGATTTTAAGAAAAGATCCGGTGGATCACCTAGCTAACTGATGATATATTGTTACAAAGATTATCAAACCACTAGCTCCCGAGAAAATATCCACGTGGACCTATAGAGATCAATATCTCTCCAGCTCGGGCTCACAATTTGGGATTTCATATCGTATTTTTCACCACTGTCGATAAAATGAAGAGCATCATGGTCTCCGTCTTCACAAGTATGAATAGACTTGCAGAAAAATCTGCTGATGAAAAGTGCTTTGCTGCCTAGCCCACCTGAAACCGGCACCCAGTGCACTTCATCATTGACATCCATCTCGTAAACCTCCACCTTGGTAGTGAAGTTGATACTATATTGAGGCCAATGCAATTGTCTCTTCACCATGAGCAGTTTCCCATGTGACTCAATCAGGTATCGAATGACGGTGATGATATCCTTGGGTTCATGTTGAACCTCATCATCTAACCATGTAGCACCCTCGAGAATCATGCCATCGCCAGTTTTATTCCGAAGTTCATCTAAGGCCCGCTCCTCAGAGTCCTCGCTCACTGCCTCGGTATGGTCCTCAAAACTATTTGTGACCTCATCCTTACCGCCCTTATCATTGTTGCTGAAATCAAAGTTATCGTAAACTTCGCGCCACACACTGCGACTTGAATTTCCCGATGGGTGCCTAATGAGGCACTCAGTGCTAGTAATGGTGGGCATGCCATCACTATTAAATTCTATACCGAGAGAAACAAGATCCTCCGCCTCGGTGATTCCATATAATTTATCGCCAAGAAAAGCAATGTCAACGATGTCCACGAAAGGAGCACTTTGTGGCTCAGGCAACCACACACCTTTCCCTGGACGGATTAAGATGAGGGGGTGATTCCAGTTGTTGGTCATGACAGCGACGATGTCCAAAGGCGTTGATCGCATGAGCACTTTACGGACCTCGAAAAGCTCAGAAACTTGGCCAATGACCGCATCCAACTCGGGAAGCGACACAGTGATGCCAGTGAACGGATTGTGCAAGGAGTAGCTATGCATCTTCTTGGCGTCGATGAAGTCGAGGGCGAGCCAATTGTCGGTGGAGCCAATGCATCTTGTGTTGCTGGGCAACGTGGGGAGCCGGGGCGGCGAGGTGCAAATAGGGTCCGAAGGTTTGTAGAACGAGCCGTCTGACATAACAATCCAGGGAAGCTGCCGTGAAGCCGAAATGTGCCGGCGCATAGCCAGATGCCACGAACGGCACACCGCACGGAAGCGAGCTCGATCGGCGGAGACCCAATGACGGTCGCGTCGCGCCTTCTTGAAGTCAGCGGGTTTAGCGGAGGAACCAAGGAGCCCTTGGACTAGCGACCACGCCGAGGAGAAGAAGCCTCCCCGTGGAGGGGAGGATACGAGGCGGTCGATGATGAGGTCTAGTATGTCTTGCGGGAGTTCTGACCACGGCGCCGGAGTCGACGTCGCCATAGACAGAAGCGGCTGTGGATCGGGTAGGTTTGTGTTGTGTCAAGCGTGTAGTCGGGGCACCGCGAGTACTACCCTACGTATATATAAGGATAGATTGGTTCCGAATTTGACGGGAATCCCCAACGGGCCCCAACGCGAACGAACACGCCTGAGTTCGAGTCGGACTCCAATTAGCGTGCCGAAACCGAGCACTGCCGCGCCGACCCCATCAACGACAAGGGGAAGCAGCCGCAGGACGAGTACTACCACCTTGCCCCAAGGAGATACCGGAGCCGCGCGGCCTTCAAGCTGCAGCAGCTCGACGACTGCTTCCTGTTCCTCCCGGCGGCACACGCCGTGCTCGACCTCTGCGTGGCGCCGGGCGGCTGGGTCCAGGTGGCCGTCGGCTGCGCCCCCGTCGGCGCCTTCATCTTCGGCGTCGACGTCGTGCTCATCCGCCCTGTCCGCGGCGCACACTCGCTCACGGAGGACATCACCACCGGTCCACCACCAAGTGCCGATCCGCCGTGCGGAAGCTCATGGACTCCAGGGGCGTCGCGCCTTCCACGTCGTTCCCCACAACGGCTCGCCCAACGTCAGCGGCGCGTCGGCACTGGAGGCCACCACGCAGTCCGCGCTCGTCATCGACGCCGTTCGCTTGGCCACCGCGTTCAACGCCCAAAAGGAAACTGAGTAGGGCAACTCCTAATTTTATTTATCATGAAATGATTTTATTATCATTTATCCAAAGTTATGTCATGTGAAGCTTTAGAGTATCTCCAACAGACGCTCAATATTAGCGCCGTGCTCAAAAATTCGCAAGTTTAACGCGCGCGGAGTTGAAAATAACACTTCAGCGTGCGCTACATAATAAAGCATCCTGTAAAAAGTGTTTAGCGCGCCCGACGAAATTGGATCGCAAACCGTATATTTAGCGCCTGAGCTCCGGTGCGCTGAACTTCTCACGCACGTGAAAAGTGTCCCGTGTGCCCGCAGCTGCCGTTGGCCTCCTCGCGTGTGCCCGCCGTCGTCCTCCTCATGTGCGCCCGCCGGCGGCCTCCTCACGTGCGCAGGAAAGGAAAGGAGGTACATCATCAATTCAAGCATCGGTCACTTGCAGCGAACAAGCTCGCTTTGCGTAAAGGTGAGCCGGGAAATCAGAAGATTTAGGAACATGTTGAATAATAAAAGGGCTAAAACAAGAAAATAAATCCCTAATTTGCAAAAATAAAAGGTGCCACAACAAAACGAGAGTTGTGGCGAGTGTTTCAGAGGTCTACTACCTCGAAGCAGTGCATCTCCACGACGACGTTGGTAAGTCCTCTAGGTTTTGCATAAATAACACCATCACGCAAAGAGAGCGCTTCGGCAATCAGAGGATCCGTGACACCATCATGAGGCTTACACCAGTCCCCTAGAAACCTTGTCAACGAACGAGCAACACCAAATGCCCCTTTCTCTAGGATGCTTTCAATACCAACATCCGTGTTGATTTTCGGGGGAAGGGGGGGTGGCTCCACCCGAACCGAGGAAGGGTAAGGGCCTGTTCCATCGAAAGTTCTAGGATGGCAAGGGTCTCACGAAACCATACTCGTTGCCTCTTCTTACTTTTAAATTTTTTTCTTGTGTCAACATAGAACAACATGAGTGTTGTGTTAACTTTTGAAATTTTTCCGGGTTTGTTTGGACATTTTTATACATTAATTAAGTTTTCTATGCATTTATGTGCATAATTCAAATTTGAACTACAAACATATGCTCATGTGCACATAAATGGATTGAAAAATCAAATGTCTGTCCTTGGTTGCATGCTTAGGTCCCTTGCAAGAAATGTGAATGAATGTCAAACACCTTGCCATCGTCGCTCGGCCGCAAGCATTGAGATACATGATTTTTAAATTCTAGTAAATCCAAAACTCGTTTGAAATTCATGAAATTTGGCATGCTCTCATGGAACGACATCAACATGCCGTGATAAAAAAAATTGTCCCATTTGGTGCAGGTTTAGGTATAAGCTTCTCAGAAACCAAAACTTCTCACAACAAGCCTCAGGGTTCTGGTAGGGAATATATGTGCATCCTTCATGGATGAAACTATATTTGTTGCCTCTTCTTGTTTTCAATTTTTCCTAGTGCCAACATAGAGCAACAGAAGTGTGTTAAAAATTGGAATTTTGGGGTTCGTTTGGAAATTTTTATATATTAACTGAGTTTTCTAGATATTTCATGTGTATAATTTAAATTTTAACTACATGCATAGGCTCCAATGCAGAAAAATAGGTTGAAAACTCAAATGTGTGTCCTTGGATGCATGCTTAGGTCTCATGCAAGAAATGAGAATAAATTTCAAACACCATGGCACCGTTGCTTGCCGGCAAAATAGTGAGATATTTTATTTTTAAATTCTAGTAAATCTAAAACTCGTTTGAAATTCGTCAAACTTGGCATGCTTCATGGAATGGCACCCGACATGCTGTGGTGTTTTTTGTGTCCAATTTGAGAGAAGACGCACTTGAATAACAACCAACGAAGGCATTTTGAAACAAATAGTTGCCACTTTAACATCTCAACCGTTTATATAATTTAAATTGTGTGTGTGCTGTTAACCATTCACGTGACGCTACGCGTCACACTTTTAATGGCTAGAAGGTGCCGTGCGGACAGCTGCTTGAGTAGATGGAAGGCGTGCGAGCGCAGTCCGCTGCACAGGCTGACCAGGAGGCATGCAAGTTGTCCTCCAATGTGCAGGCTCACCGAGAAGCACACGACCTGAACGCTGCGAAGGCTCATTGGGAAGCGAGCCCTTTGACTTTCATGACCGCCCGCCTTACTCGCGTCCTCTCCATTAATGGCGCCCGAGCCGCTGATTAATACAGGCGGCCATACTGTTCGCCTTCCATTCCCCTCCTGAAGACCTCCACCAATGCCATGGCGCAGAAGGATCATCTGCCATTGGTATTCCAGTTTAGTGAAATCGACTCCGAGCCGGATGAGATAGAAAATAAGGAGGAATGGGGCCTTATGGACATGACCCTGAACGAGTTGGCCGCGATGGTTGCTGCCCCCGCGCCCGTCCCAGCTCCCATCCCCACGCTTGTGCTAGCGACCATCCCCGTAGCATTGACGGGCTGGTCGCCGAGAACTATCGCAGAGTTGGAAGCCGCGGGCGTCAGTGAGGTCGTCGCGGACCCGCGTGAGCTCGTGTCGCCGATCCTCGTGCGTTTCCATGCACCTGCCGCGCTCGTGCCCGTGCGCGCCCTCCCTCTGGGTCATGGGATGCCGCCGTCGACCGCCACCTCACAGCGCCGCGAGTTGCCGTCCTCCTGGGCCCTGCCCATCGATCACATGACGACAAGATATTTGATTTCCAAGGGAAGAACATTTTGTGCTGCCTTGAAGACTTCAACAACAGCGTCCAGGAGGACAATAACGGCAACGACGGCTCGGCACGCTGTGTCTGCCGCCGCCGAAATTAGTTCTTTGGGGGTTTAATACTTTATCTCGATTGTATGAATATAAAGTTGCGGTGTGACCGAATGAAAGATATGGTTTGAATGAACTTGCGTTTTTCTCTCTGAATGTACATACTTATCAAACCTTTTTTTTAAATGTCAATGGTTTTTTAATTTAAAACACTCATCTCAAACGTTTTAGATAGAACACCCGTATGCAAACCGATAACTTCCCTAGTAAGCCAAGGAAAAATGTGCCGAACAGGATTTATGCTGCTCTTCATCGCAAACATTTTAGATAGAACACCCGTATGGAAAGTGAGAGCTATGGTCTTCCCCAGCAAGCCAAGAAAAAATTCGCCGCACAAGATTTGTGCGCCCGGACCGCACGACGTCATCGCAGTCAATGGAAATATGGAGTGCTCCCTCCATACTGAGGAGCACACCGCGGCCCTTGTAGCCGAGGTACAGAACGGCGTCATAAATCGAACAACTCACCAGTCATCAGGACCCCTGACACTACCAAGCGAGTCTGATCCGCACTACATCATGATAGCTCGGCGGATCCAGAGCCTAAATAGCAGTCCAGCCTCCACCGATCGCCCCATAAGATTGCGGCATACGTACCGCGCGTGCATAACTACGCACTTAAAATACCTTGGGCAGCGCCGGAGGCATACTACAGAAAAGTTCTATAGCCCCCGGTGTTTAAGGCTTGACCCTATTTGGACCTAAACCTTCTTTCTCTTTTTTATTTTTTTCTTATACTACAGGTTCATTAAAAACCTACCTACCCTACGGTCGTACAAGGGCTCTTTTCCAGGCTCCCCTTTCTTAGGCCTCATTCGGTTTGAAGGATTTTTATAGGAAAAACGTGGGAACAAGGATTCCAAGGAAAATTTCCTATATATGCATTCGGTTTGTAGGAAATGCGTAAAGGAATTTCGTAGGAATACGATTCATTTCCTATGCTTTTAGAGGAAACTACACATCCACTCAAAGCTCATTTTGCGCGTAGGAACGAGACAAGTCAATTCCTTAGGGTGGCAAATGCCATCCTATCAAATTCCTATACTACTCCAAATTCCTACGTTTAGATTTCCTCCAAACCGAATGAGCCCTTATAGATGACCGTCGACTTTTCCTCTCAAAGGATTTTTCACCAAGGAGAAACGGCACATACGTGCGGCAGGGAACCACTGGGATCTTCAAGACCACTGCTTTTAGGCCCTGTGTAAAACTTTCCCTTGTGTAAACTCTCAACATGTAAAATAGCCTTGATATTCATGACATTATCAATAATAGCACGTCTCGACGTATTAACTAGGATATAAAGGAAACAGTTGATCACCACTTTCGTTTGGTACTGATTTATTTTGTCATCTGTATTCCCTACTCCCTACTTACTTCAGATTGCCACATGTGCTTTAGTCCAGCCTTAAACACCGGGGCTGTATTCGTCTTCGCATGTTTTCAAGTCCGAACACCTATAGGATACTCTTCAGCGTCCCGAATATTGCACTATATGCATCGGCTTCAAATCATGTCTTTGGTCGATAGTTGGGTTGCC